GTTCCTTGGCTCGCCGCCGGCGGCACCGCGCCCATCTCGATTGCTCCCAGCTAGAGCACTCCCGAAGACAGGATTGACAAGTGCAAAATGGACACGGCTCTTAGTGCTCCTCTTCCCATTTATAAACTATGAAAAAATATTCCCTCAGAAGATATTCGACGGAGGTGCGCTGAAAAAAAAGACTGGTAGAATTTACCATTCCTTCACGCTGTATTTCACACAGGGTCAATTCAGAGTCAATCTGTCAGGAGAAAGATAAACGTTACCATACACTGGTACGTAACCATTTCTCCGGCAGAATCGACTTTGAATTCACGCTGTGTGAAATACAGCGTGAAGGAATGGTAAAGTCTACCAATATTTTTTTTCAGTGTGTTGGTGCACTCCTAGAAATTTTGGCTGGTTGTGGTGGTCCTTTAGTTTGTGTTCACGGGCTAACATATTTCCGACAAGCAGTCGATGCGAGCATTGTCAAGGTTTAAGTTGCTGATAGAATCAACATAAAGTAATATTCCCAAACCACGTAGCTCGTTTGCGTGGTTCAAAAATCTCCGCCCCCATTATTCTTTTTTTTTTCTTAGAGCGAATCAACAGCATCACGTGAAGTTTTCACTGAATTTTCTTCGCTCAGAGCAGAAAAATCACGGACATTTTAAAGAATGAGCTTTGAGTAGTTTTTCTTTGAAATAAAGTGTGACAGGAAGTTTGCAACGTTGTAAACCAAGATTGGTGGTTTGGGAATTTCATCAACAACACAGAGTACACCAAAAGGGCTATTTTCCCCAATTAATCCTTCGTTTCTGAACATAGTCTAAGTGTATTACCCGGTTAAAAGTTTGCGTTTATGTTAGAACTCATATGCCATATGAGAAAGGGATTTGAAATTCTAAGAGCTTGGATTTGTTGTGCATACGAGCTACAGCCAACGCAATAGGACGTTTATGTTGATAGCTAAAGTAAAACAATTCCGTATCTCCAATGTAACATTTTTGAAATCACCCTCTACTCTGCACTGTTTTAATTTTTGATGAAGAACCCTTTCAAAATATTTGCTTTACATTTTCTATAAATAAATTTAAATAAAGGAGGGAAAACTGCAAGTTGGGTTTAAAAAAATAAAACTAGATCAGAGATATGGACCAGCGTAATCGAATGCACGCGATGTTTGATTTGTTCCATTGATATGTCACAAAAATCAGGTTCAAAATGTCTGAAATACACTGCATGCCTCACACACATCTTCCCGTATCTTCCTGTACAATATAGAAGCATGGAGTAACGCGTAGCGCTCAATGCCCGAGACACGAAGCGCTTCGGGAGATTGGACTGTGAAGCGGTCTGGGGGCGCACCCCCCGTGTATGGCATACGGAATGGAATGGAATTTTACGTCCGACACCAAGCTCCACAAGAATCGCAAATCGCATCATCAGCACGACTCTATACGGTGATAAACGACGCCAGACAATTTACGTGCGGCAGTGCGCCTTCATTTTCGTCTGATACCGTGCAATACTTCAGTGGTGATAGAGTTGCTCGAAGCGCCTTCAACGGTATCGTTTCGACTTGATGGCAGAAGATGCCGATTACACGTGGCAGTTACGCATTTTCTCATCACCGACCGTGAGGTAACAAACATTCATAACTCAATTTGCGACGTTTCAAGTTTTCCACTGCACAAGTTTTTCGAATCAGAATTAGATGTTAGGTTTTTCAACTTGTGGTTGACTGCTAACCAACAAGAATTGGGCCCAGATGTGAAACGCCGCTGCCTCTCTTATTTATCTACATCATAATCAATGATGCTATCATTTTCGCCGCGTCAGTTTTTCCACACTTTATGATTGATAAAATCAAGGTGAAAAAAACTGAGGTACGCACTGCCGCGATGAACCGCGACGCCAATCACTATCTTCTCGGACGACATGACAGTAACTCCGCTATTGTTAGACGTGGCGACTTAGCGTCTGGACAAATCTGACAGTAGACACACGTAGTAGTGCGGAGATTTTTAACTGTGTACTTTACTACTGTTACTGTACTGTACTACGACGTGTTTCATATGTTTACACTCCATGATTTTGTCGGTATAACAAGGATCTTGGGCGCGTATATTGCGACTAAGAACATTTTGCCATGTAGAACGACTACATCATAAGAAAGTTTCTGGCTTATTGAACAAGTTCTATGACCACAACTCATTTACTGAAAGTAGATGAACTAATATAAGTTGCAAGATAATTTTCTCCTATAATCAACCATTTTTTAGATAACAAGTTTTTGTTAACTTACCCTCTATGGCATAGCGTTACGAATATGTAAAAACGTATTTTTGAGGTTTTTTTAAGAGTTGAATCATTCCACTCTGGCATTATGTTGCAAATGTTCTTATAGTTTTTCTCTTTTTTTGAATAACTGATTCCCGAAAATTCGAAATTTTGAAAAAAAAAGTAGTAGTCTATGTTTTTTATGCAAGCCACAAAATAGATTAGTGTCCCCCAGAATCTCAGGTCCAAAATTAATTCATGGCATAGAGGGCAAACTGTTTAAATTTTCCCAAATTTAAATCGTAAGATCAAAAAATCGCATAATCTTAGCAGTATTACAATGCTTTGAAGTCCCTAGCTGCAAAATGCATATTATTAATTCGAGGATAGCAACTCGATAATCGAAGGTTAATTTCGGGAATTCGAGGGATCGTGTACGTTAGTCCACCAATACGAGATTAAAATGGGAGCTGGCAGTTCACCAAGTTCATTGCCAATTCAAGCCATCATGTGAACACACACCGAATTGATTCGAGGAAAATGAGAAGCCTTTTCTCGGAGCCCTCCCCTATATTTCCCGATCTGGAAGTCACTAACCCACGAGTGACACGCGGATGGAGGCCGAGGCATGGCGTGTTTTGCGATCCATCGATACCTCCCCATTTGAAGCTGTGGTAAATAATCGATCATTAAGGTGCTCGCTGCAAACACCCTGTTTATCGATATTTTTCCATAGGTTTAAATGGCCTATCAATCGATATATCGCAAAGCACGCCATGTCACTGGGAAGGAGGCCGAGCAAAGGAACCTTTGATTTTGGGTCGAAGCGCGCAAAGGCGTAAGCTGCATACGAAATCAAAGCCGTCTTTTGAAAAGGCGCTCCCCCGCCACCTCGCGCAAGGAGCCGGCGCTATTCTTCATTCAGGGACGACAAATGCCCCCGAAAAGCACCACGCGGGGCCCTTAATTGAACGCGCTCACGTCGGAAAGTTAGAAACGTTTGGGGGCTCGTTGACAGGAGATCCGACCGGGAACGGGCTCCGGGAACACGAGATATAGGGTTACATATGACGATGCTCAAACCGGAAAAACACGTAACTCATATGCGGTATTTCAAAATGGCTGCCCTGATACTTTATCTCCTCAGAAGGAAACCAATCAATATTTTTACATCATGTTACAACAATTCTGTTTAGATTATTCACTGAGAAAAAAGTCCGATTTTATATAACAAAGTGATCCATACATGTCAAACTATTCGGTTTTGTCAAATTGAAATTTCGATTCGTCAAATCGTAAGTTCGGTTCAAGTGATAGAATATTTGGATTGAGCTGAATAAAGGTTTTGTCATATGAACCAAGCATTAGGTTAGACGAATCAAACGTTCGCTTTGACAAATCGAATAGGTTGATCGTTATGGCATTCATATTTTGGTTCTTATGAACAACCNACATCCTTCCTTTTTTTTGGAAAAACAATGATATCGACTAAAATTTAAACGTGGAAACGTTTGAGAAATAATCGAGAAACTGAGATTTTCTATCCTGTAAGTTGCTGTTGGGTCAAATTTCGCAAAGACATTATTGTGCAAGTGCCACTTACATATTGACTCTTCTTGACCAGTGAATAATTCTCAAGTTCAAAAAATACTCTTATCGGTGGACAAAGTCGCAAAACGCGAGTCTCGATTGCGCATTGTTCTACAATTTCCGCTGTTCATGTATTGTTCATCAAATGAAAATCAATGAACCTCACTTTTCTAAATTTTCATAGAATATTCTGCGAAGGATGGAAAACATCAATATAGTTTCAAAAAATAATGTTCGTCGGTTATTTATGAAAAAAATTATATGTGCCAGGAAATCTGCAACGTCGCAAATTAAGAACTGTACTTTTCGACATTCAGTATAGACACCTACGCTACCAGTCCATCTATGGCGCAAATTTACTTTAATTTGTAATAAGGAATTATCCTGGCTCATCCATAAAAACACCTATCTGCATAGGGAAACTAATCGACGGTGCAAGTCGGCAATCACATAACTCGTTTGCGGTGTCTGAAAATCTCCGCCTCTAAGTTATTTTTTTAAAAGAGAACAAATTGACATCATTCCTTGAAATTTATGCAGAATTTTCTTCGCACGAAGAAGAAAAATCACGGAAATTTTAAAGAATTGCCGTTGAGTAGTTTTCCGTTTAAAAAATAAAGTATGACAGGAAGTCTGCGACGTCGCAAACCGAGTTATGTGATTGCCGACTTTCACCGTCGTAATGTCACATTATGTTTTTTTCTGAAATCATTTCTGACATGGTAGTTCCTTATTGCAAAATGTAGTTCAATGATCGTCCCTTTGGGAAAAAACCTTTGGACATAAAAATCCAAGATGGAGTTATTGATATCTATATGTAGGCACAGCGGACCGTTTTCCAAACACATTTTGGAATGTAAAAGGCTTAAAAAGGTCGCACCATACCAGGGCTATGATACTTGAAATTCTCAGTTCAAAAAACGTAATATAAAGCAAAAGCTATTTAAAGTTCAAGTCCACTATGTTCAGAGTCAGGCATTGCTGAATTAAATTCGAATTTACGCTCAAAATTGGTACGAGGATGAGCTAAACTAACTAATGGTAACTTATTCTTCAGGGCACTGAAAGACTTTTCCCTAGAAATCTGGAAATCCAATTTTTGATACTCATAGAAAGACATTCTTTTCAAAAAAATTAATACAAAATATTGACAGAATAAATTAGTATATTTACAAATATATATTATCGATTTAATTTAAATTAATTTTTAACTATATTTACAAGTTTGTACTATTCTCCAGCTTCAGTCTGATTAATGGGTTTGATGTCTGCAGTGGCGTCTCCTTTGAGGAGCTCAGCCACCTCCTCAGACTTGTCTCGCTCCTGGAGTTCCTGCTCGAAGGACTCAGACAGCGGTATGAGCTTGAGGTAAGTGAGATGCGGCCACGTCTCGCCCTTGTGTAGCTCCTTCAGGTCGATCTTTCCTACCCGCTCGTTTTCTGGAGTGTCCCTCTTCGTGCAATTGAACGTCGTCACGTGAACCTCCATCTCCAGTGTCTCCTCCTTTTCGTCCTTGTGTTCCTTGCTCCTGGTCTCTGGCAGGAATATGACGTTCCCATCCTTTTCGATCTTCTGCGCCTTCAGGATCTTCGTCTTAGTCACCTGGTTGAACTCCGGGAACAACTCCACCCCGATCACAGGGCCCTCCGCCGAGCTTGGCTCTTTTTTCTTCTCGTGTTCCTTGTGCTTCTCGTGTTCCTTGTGCGTCTCGTGTTCCTTGTGCTTCTCGTGTTCCTTGTGCTTCTCGTGTTCCTTGTGCTTCTCATCTTGGAAAATTTCCGATTTAAAAACTTTGATTTCAGGCACGAGAATTTCCGGAGGTACAACGACCTCCGGGGAAATTTTCAATTCTCGGTTGATGATGTTGTCGCAGTTGCTGAGAACTTGTTCGAACCCTTTTGGTGGTTGGGGTATACTGTTAAAAGAGAGAGTCTTGGTCTCCTGGAATTGTTCGAATCCTTTTGGTGGCGGTGGTATACTATTAAAAGAGAGAGTCTTGGTCTCCTGGAATTGTTCGAACCCTTTTGGTGGTTGTGGTATACTATTAAAGGAGTGAGTCTTGGCCTCCTGGAATTGTTCGAACCCTTTTGGTGGTTGCGATATGCTTTTAAAAGAGAGAGTATTGGTCTCCTGGAGAGGGTAGTTGAAGTGGTTCTGATTGGCGGGAACGCACGCTCCAGGGGGGTAAGTTCGCGCTTCTAGGGGGATGAAAAAGTTGTTCAGACCAGCTACGTCATTGGCGCTGATCCTGGTTGGGAGCTGACCCCATCCGTTGGACAACGGTTTCACATCGATTTCATTTCCAACCGGGTGTGATACCACAGATGATGGTTGCCACGTCTGAATGGGTAGCGGCCTCACAGATTCGGATGATGGTTGCCACGTCTGAATAGATAGCGGCTTTACAGATTCAGATGATGGTTGCCACGTCTGAAAGGATAGCGATTTTACAGCTTCAGATGACGGAGGCGAAAAACTGCTTGTTGAAATGACGTTCTGAGATTGGAGAGTGGGAATCTTGGAAAGACCCTGCACCTTCAGAATATCCTCCGTCCACTTCTTTTTCTTCAACTCCTCGAAAAACTCATCGTCACTCACCCAGTCCTCACACAACTCCGAGTATATCTCCGTGATGTTATGTACCTCTGGACAGAATGGGATGAACTGACTGGAGCGCTGGAGTTTCAGCGTAGGGTCCTCATGAGGGTCAGCACCTTCCAACCTCATAATCGACGAGCAAAAGGTCTGCCTGTCTAACGGGAAAGGCTGACTTTTCATCCCGATACCTCGTGGAGTGAACGCTCGCTCCACGCTATCTACAGTGTCGTAACTCGGTATACTTCTCTCTTGAGAGTCCAGTAGGTTTCGGAAAGCGGTCCCTGAATTTTGCACATTTTGAAGAGGCATCTGGGACGGTAATGTTTGAAAGTTTGAGGAATTTTGACGGAAATGTATCTCTGAATTTCGAGTATTGACCGAATTTTTTTGCTGGGGATTCATTTCTGAGGGATTGATAACGTAGTGTTCAAATGCTGGCATAATATCGCGGCTATTCGATGCCCGCTGCTCCAAGTTTTGATCGTGATTCTCAGGAGATTGCGGTCTTAGACCCTTTGCTTCCAATGATATCTCAACGGGATTTGTATGTTGAGGTTGAGACCACAAATCATCGATTTTCTCTGCGAAGATCCTTGTGGGTGAGGTCCCTGTATTAAGGGTCATTTCAGGGCTTTGATAAGTCTGCTTTGGAAGCGCAGTTTTAAGGCCGAAGTCTGAGCTCTCCACATTCGTTGAGAGTGACGGGTTGAACTCCGTGGGAATTACCTTGCCTTCAGTTTTCTTGTCCGAATACTGTTCGAGGAAATAGTTCCTGACGGTGGTCCTCTCGGAATCGGCCTTTGGAGTCGCTTCCCATCTTCGGTAGAAATTTGTCAAAGGCTCTCCAACGGTTGGAATCTCGTTGGCCTCAAGACTTGAGCTTTTCAACCGTTGAGCTTTCCCGTCTTCTGAATCAGAACCCTGCGAGATTTTCAAAGGAAGATCGTATTTCATAGGCCCATTTTTGGTTTCACGCGTATTTTTTGAGAATTCTTGACTCTCTTGATCAGCGAGCTCGTTCAGTTTGAGCCTTTGACTTCTGATTGGCAGTGACAACTTACTAGTTTTGGGAGTCCTTGTTTTTCTGCGAGCTGATTTTTCAAGCCGTAGCCGTGAAATCGGTTTTTCTCGAGAAAGATCAGCTAAGAGGGCCGTAAATCGATGAGCGTTTGAAGATTCGGAGGATGGAATTTGGTCGGATTCTGTGCTCAGGGAATTTTCTGAGCTTTTTGAGGATTGCCAGGAATCTACTTCGATACTGGGTTTACTCGGATTGACCCATTGTTTTGGAATAGGAGAGTCTGATATTGACTGAAAAATAAAAATTAAAATAGCGTTAAATATTTTACCATCCGTGAAAAAGACCATCCACATCAAAAATTATGTAATAAACATCGATCGTAAAATCAAACGATTTTTTCGCCGTGTGAAGAAAAAATTATGGTTAACCTGTCCAGATATTGCTAGTTTTTTGCAATTAATTAATATAAAAAAGACAACTTTCACACATAGTCAATTTTTTCAGAATGAAATCTGCAGAGTATGAGGTGCTCATAAAGCTGGAAAAAATAAAGAATGCTCATTCTCAGAATTTCTTTTTTTAAGGGTGTTCTGTCTAAAAAAAATACTCTCAAAATCTGGAGCAGGGTTCCGCGGTTCAAGCTGAGCTCGACTGTTTTGTATCTCGATTGGTGTTTCAACCTCCATTAAAATGTAACATAAAACATTTTAGGGTAAAAATACTCATGGGAATTTGAGAACTCTTCAAAGGCCCCCTCATAGAACCTAAAACCTCATGGGGTAAAATAATCTCCCGGAGACCCGTCCCGAGTTAATATTTTATTCAATTTACCAGGGGCCTGCCTAGGCATAAAACTATTTGGACACCCTAGGAATGTACCTTTTTCAGGAGGTCCATGGCTTTTTTAAAAATTATAAATATCCCCAAAAAAATTTAAAAGAAAACATGTATCTCACACAAACGTTCAAATTTAGTCTAAAAATAAGTGCCAGATAAACAATCGTGTTTCTTTACGCATTGACTCCAGTATTTTTCACAAAAATCGAGTACTGATTGAGAGTAAAAATAGTTTTGTAGTGTATCCTTCTTTGATATTGAATTAAACATCACGCAACTCTGCCGCTGATAAGGTATACAAGCAAGAAGTTTAAACAACTCATTCGTAGAGAAAGGTGACTTATCAAAAATCACCATCTAAGTTCGAAATCAGGATTAGCCCACAAATTCAAAACCATTCACTTTAAAGCGCTGTATTACCTATATTGAGTATTGAATTTATTCTTTAAAAAAATAAAATATGAAAGACGTTTTGAAAAACCAAAATTCGTTGCCTGGCTGACAAAAGGGCGTAACTGCACATTGACATGAGCCCAGAAAAGCATTTAATTGTATGGACGACAGGGTTCATTGTGGTTATAGGACATTTCATCAACTATTTTTTGTCCGCGCGCCTATTTTTCCAGTAATTTACGTCCACGCGTTTTTTCGGCACGGGAGTTTTGGTCTACGTGCCAGTTGAGACCCAAAGTTAATTGGCCCACATGTAAATACAAACGACAATTGCTCACGACGTTTTTGGATGAAAGTATGTAAAATGTCTTGGAAGAATGAGGGTTTGTTTGTTTTTTTGTTTTGTCTGTTTGGTCCAACGGAGAATAATATATAGTTGAGAGTTTTGGTAAAAATGGGGAAGCGTCAATTCCATGAGACAAAATTCACTAAAACTCTCTACACCTCTTTGGTGTAACAGGACTTAAGTATCTTTCAAGTTTTTCCCACCTTATTATACCTGAACCGGATGAACCCCTATATTTGCCTCAGGTAAAGGCTCTTAGATTTTTCCTGTGTACAATAAGTATCTTGATTTATTTTGCGAGGAAAGATCAGTACTTTCAAAGGATGGCTGTCATTCTTAATACGTTCAATTTCGTATAATACTGTGCAACACCTCTGTTGTGAAATAGTTGCTTCAGGCGCCACCGTACGGCGGGCGGGCGCGGGCGGTCAGCGCGAAACGCGCATTGGCGCCTACAAACCTAAGTGGATACTTCAAGCATTGTGCCTTGCGTGAAGTATCCACTTAGGTTTGTAGGCGCCAGTGAGCCTCTAGTGCTGGCGGCACGCCGCGCCGCTCCGCACTGTTAGGCTTTAATATTTATACGCGCATAGTCAGCGTTTTTTAACTAATGATTTTGATGTTTGCACACTCTGCATTGATTATTCTCATATAAATTGATGGGGAAAAAATGTGTATCAATTTATCAAAGGAGAATAATAATATAATGTGTGTTTTTTATACATTGGTGGTTCCGTGTCAAATTTAATGATTTCCAAAGCACTTTAATTTTTTTTTTTTTTTTTTTTTTTTTTTTACATTTTGTGCTTTTATTATGCTGCAGCGAGGTGTACGCGCAACCAAACGCTCAAAATTTGACGTATTTCACTCTAAAAGATCGATGTTCAAATGGGTTAAAACTAAAGATTGCGTGCTTCTTGGCCTTTTTCCCTCTTTTATTCATTTTTGCAGTTTCTGTCGGCACAAATGCGGCTTATTGAGATTAATGACGCTTGGAAAAGGTTTTACAAATATTTGTCACGTTTTAAAAATATAAAAGTTTTCAAAATGAAGTAATAATTTCGTAAAGAAAAAATTAAAAAAATAAAGAAAAGTACCTATACACATAAGGTATATTGTGCGTCGAATATTTTAAGGATAGAAAAAAAACCAAATATTCACCAATGACAATTTAAAAAGATGATCCAAAAGGAGAAAGTAATAGAGAAAGGTTGCTCATTTAGAAAATGAGCAACCATAACAATACCTCCTTCTCTTTCAATTTTTCATTTCCATATTGTCGATATAATTTTATATACCGACTAAAATATAACGCTTGAACCAAGTCACCGTTGCTTATTTTACGTGTGGGCGTAAACTACTGGACAAAAAAGGTGCGCGGACAAAAAATCGTTGACACAATATCCTGAAACCTTTATTGCAGAGTCTTTATTGTAGTTAAGCCCTTATTCCGGAGAGCGACGAATTAAGATAAAGGTTTTTCTAGCTACATCATCGCAATAGATTTTTTACTGCAGAGCAAAATACGAAAAATATAGGAAAACACCCATACACAAAGCAAATTTTTTATTAGTCTTGGTTCATACATATGAAGGTCTCTAAAGAGAATCCTAGAGGACTTATGAAGGCGACACGGTCAAAACCTAAAATAAGTCTTGTAAAGTCAAGGGTATCGTGGCTTTTTTTGTTATAAGTTTATTTTCAGTTCAAAAATAACGTAGCATGCTTCAGGATGAAGTCATGATCATAATTTATAAAAAAATAATAATTAAAATATATAGGAATTATCTCTCGAAAATTTTATTATATTTAAGAAACGCGAGGAAAATCACTCTTGCGACGAGACTGCGTCACAGTTATTAATTGATGTAACACAGAATGACGATTTAATTATTATTAGTATGAAGAACAAATTATAGTTTTTTTTATAGATATCAGATGAAACATGTATAATTTTGATTCTTACCTGACTCTGGGTTATCACAGCCATTACCATGCACAGCAGGCATGTATTCTTCAATTTGAGGGAGATCATCTTTGGTGGAATCGTTTTTCTTCTTCCTCAAGTCGGACACTCAAATATAAATATTAAGTTGATAGAAAAGCTCCGCAAAGAATCATTATAGAACCAACGGTTTGAAACCCGTTTCAGATTATTATACTCAGCAGTGACATGAAAATACCAATAATTAGGAGCGCTCAAATTTGTAGTAACGTATCTTTTAGTTTCCTTGATTCCAAATTTATATGGTGAAATATTCAATTTCGAATCACTTCTTCTGATTTTTACATTACAGAATTCGAGAACCAATCCTTAATAGAGGTGGAATCACTTCGCGTCCAAAATCATCAACTTTCAATTATCAAACATCGCCAACATACCCCCCTCATACTAAAAATTAAAAATCAACCAATGCTGATTGTTCGTGTCCCCAAATCAAATACAGAGAATTCCTCGTTCAGTATTTGATGATATTTCTGATTATTGGCCACTATTTTATCAATCAACTGTAAATTACACTTTAGGTCCAAAAAGCTTAAGTTTTAGTAAGTTTTCTGAGCATTGTGTGTTGTGATTCACCGTTCCCGCCACTTTTTTGTTAAAAAGTTTTTCTAATGCACTTTATGATAGATCACCGACGAATGAAAAGCCCTCCGAAAAAAGCTGCACTTCGACCTTCTTCGACAATACCGACTGCTAAACTAAGCTGTACTTCTTTCTCAACTCCCGTTACAATCCTTCTGGTCATCACGGAAATGAAATTATCCATTTTTTGTCTATTTTTTAATTATCGATTTCAACTCGTCGCTCTGAGCGACGATGGATAAGATACGTTGAACGACGCCACATGACATGCGAACTCTGGCTGGAGTGACAATCGGACGGAAAACTTGCTCATGAAGAGCGAACGTTCGCGGTGATCTTGCAGACTGATTATTTACTCTTCATATCTATTGTTCTGGACAGATCAGAGCTCCGTATCTATGAGAGAGTGAGCCCAAGCAATTCATAGATGATCGCCAAAGATCGCGCCATAGATTCACCGATAGTTACAGGTCCCTGCTCGATCCGCAGGTGGCAGATACAGCGACATCTACTTAAATCTGTGGTGCGAAAGTGGGATTCGAAGTTCAAACCCCTTTATCGCATCGCACGGATTGGTCACGTTCTGAACGTCGGCGCAGCTGTCTAATGCGCTACGGTAGCAGATGGAACGGAGCGGAATTACAAAATTTCATGAAATCTGAAGCCGTGTCATTTCAGGTGCAATACCTCCGGCGATTTTCAAAATTAATGAAATACATGTTTCAAATTGTTAATAATCAGCCCATCGCCGCATAAGTAATTAGTAAAACTCTATCAATATTATTTAAGAGCACCATTTTACTCATTTTTCTTGTTTGTCTTTTACATAGGAGAAAAATAAATAAGATTCCGGAATTACGTAAAAAAAGGGAAAACGTTTTGAGCATTCAGATTTTTTAGTGCGGGTGGCATACAGAGCCCTTGAGATGAATGTTTCATAGTTTTTATTTAAAATTTTACAGCCCCTTAAAATTTAATGAAATATTTGACGGATATTTCCAATCTTTCATAAGTTTCTTTATCTCAAGCCACCCTGTATAAAATGCAATAAGTTTTTTCTTTGCATGGTACTGTTTAACACTTCAAGCTCATTCCCTTTCGCTCTGAACATCAAGTCTCCTGATTGGTTGAAAAGAAACTCTTCTTTCAGTTCAATCGTTCTACACTGCATTCAAACTTTACTCATCCATCACCGATCTATCTGATATCGTCTGGTATTGCAAATATTTTGATCATGGATGCGCTATAAATCAAAGCAGATCCATCGCAAGGATCTATGGAATAAGTCAATTATCACCCAGCCGACTGGATCAATACGAGAAAAAAAAATTAATGAAAAGATGAGTTCTGAATCTCAGTAGTAGTAGTTTCAATGTTGCCATCAGTGGTGTGCAAAATGCGACTATTTATAAAAGAAAAGAAAAATGAAATTTAAATAAGCATGTTTACTTGGACTTTACTTTGTAATAAGACAGTGTTGGCATGATATTTGAGGAAGGCTGGTTCTCTTGATCGAAGGAAATCTACCTATGACAAGAATTTTTTCAATGAAATAATTTATTTCAAAACTAGCCAAGATACCTATGCTTTAAAGAAGAAACCAGACGACTCAAATTTAGTGGATACCTAACCGTTTTTAGGAGGACGGTTGCAATGGCCCACTTGACGCTAAGTGCAAGCCAACAATTTTCTTAAAAGGAGACGCCGATTTTTCCTAGTACGTAAACGGGAAATGAATCCCCTGGGTATCGAGATTGCAAGGATGCACCGATTGAAAGGTTGCGTTGGCTGCTTGCTTTAAAGGATCAACATTCCTATTACTTGTGTCGACCAAATAATTGCGTGGAGAAAATGGAGATACTTTATTTCGCACTTTCCTTTGGAAATTACTCATTTTTGCGTTGAGTCATTGAGGGGAAAAAAGAAGTAAAGATGAAAGAAAAAACCACTCTCTTGTTTTGAACTGATTGGCTTTGTTTTTATTTTTTTCTTCACCTTCACCGCGTTAATGAATGAAAGAGACAGAGTTGTTGACATTACGACGTAGCTAACCGCGCTTGTTTCCGCGATACAGACATGCGAGTACTCATTACTAATAGGGGCAAACAGTTCTTATGAAGAGGAATTCCTTTTTTTGTTTTTCTCCTGTTTATTTGGCTTTTATTCTGTCATTGACCTAAGTTCATAAAGGACGGCATACCAGAGGGTATAGCCACGTCCACGCTAGGATTTCCAACTTTTCAGGGATTCAGACCGAAAGAAATCTGGCTAAAGCACTATAATACTTGAATTTGCCGCAAAGAGTTTTTATCTTGGCTTTAAACTGAGTTTCTGCGGGAACGAAAAAAAAAGCTTGGAGACGTAGCAAAAAAGTATATCTCAAGTAGTATCATTATTGATTCAAGAAAAAACATTTCTCGGCGACAAATGTAAACATTTTTCTTCTTCGGCTTTTTGCTCATTAATCGTGCTGAAGAACGCCGCCAGTATACTGCTGCGGTAAGTAAGAACGTAGTATGAACATTCTAGAGTTGCCAAATTTTCTCCGAGAAAATGTTTATTTTTGAGGAACGCTATGAACATTTTTCCTTTAAATTTTCAGGAAATTTTGGTGAAATTGGGAAAAGAAATTATCTGGAAAATTAGAAGGAAAATATCCACAAGTTTACCAGGAAATTTACGTTTTATCAAAGAAAATCTGGCAACTCTCAAATTTTCATATGACGTTTTTCCTAAATACGGTAGAGTAGTGGATAGCATCATTTTTTACTTTTTTCCGATTTAACATCAAAGTGCGGTTACAAAGTGCGGTTTTATTGAGCTGTTTCTGACGAAATCATTGGTTTATTCTTATCCCTGTCCGTTTCAGTAAAATGGCAGTTTCACCGGTAAAAACAGATGTAAAGTATGCTGCTTCAGCTTGAATTGCAACACTGTCGAGATCGGAAAATGATGAAACGGAAGCCGAGGCCTGCCAGGAGGGATGACGCGCCGGGCGCCATGGAGAAACACAACGTTTTTAATGGTGTTTATGGAAGAAAACTTCATGATTGATTATCGATTAAAGTTGGTCTCCCCCGTTCCGCTACATTTACTCTCTTTGTCCGACACACTGTGACTCGTGTTGCTGCCACCACCCCCTCCCTCCCTCCCCCTCTCCTCTCGAGGCTCTTACCTTCCTCCCTTGCTTGACATTTTTCTTGATTTATATCTCGGCCAACCAATCACCTCCCAATATTTTATAACCATACCAACACCAGAAGTTCTCTTGGAGTCATCCCTAAGTTTAACTGCCGTGCTAAGGAAAAACGTCGTATATGCCTTTCGGATGTTGCCCAACTTTCCCCAATAAAACATTTATTTATGAGAAAAATTATGAATATTTTTACTATATATTCTCTGAAAGTTCAGATTAAATTGAGAACAAAATGATCTGAAAATTCGGAGGGCAAATCTGATGCATATTTTCTTGAAAATTCGAATTTTATCAAAGGTACTTTGGCAACGTCTGAATGCTCATACGGCGGTTTTTCTTAGCACAGCAGTATAACACGTCATCTGGAGGGGGGGGGGGAGACCCTTGCTAGCGTTAGGTATCGTCATATAGGATGGGACATATTGCGCGGAGAATCACAAAAGGTTATTTTTAGTGATATTTTTCAAGTTTTCTAAGTATTTTTTGTCCCTTGGCTCAATGGATCGTATTCGATAGTGGTTCGATGTATCGTTTGGCTCAAAATAATTAAACATAACCTCAAACAAACATTTTAGGATTTTATTTGGAAAAGATAAATATGAGAAAAGTCCTAACAATTCCACATTTTATTGCTTTTTTGTACTCATAAGAAAAACACCCGTTCCCTCTGATTTCTAAATGACTTTCGAGGATATGTTTACACGTGAAACCAATCAATATCGACACAATCTCGTCTGTTTGATGTATCGAATAGGTCCATAAGTTAAAAAATCAAAGCATTAGTTCTAGGAATTCGGCTCAAATTCCTTTACCGAGACGTTTGTACCACTGTGCTGCTAAAAGAGAATATTACCCTGAGTCCCGCAAAGGGACTCAACTATCACTGACTGAGCTAGTATACAACTTTATGACTAAGCCGTATTTTTGCATTTTTATACCGGGGAATCAACTTCCCCGATAATTTTAAAGAACTGTTCCGCTTTCGTTTCACGAAATTGAGCACGCGATCGGAGTTTCCCCGGGGTCGAGGGGGAGGGACCTCATTACGCGCGCGGGGGCGGAGGGTCTCGACAAACGGCGCAAAGGCCGGGGGCAGGGACAAGTCGAGTTCCGAAAATGACTCAATTCGTACGGGAGCGGTGAGCGGCGGCGACGATTTGATAAAATTCGCTATCGGGAGGACTCGGAAAATGAGCGAGAAAATTACGCGAAAAGCAACGACAGCCATAAAGTGTTGTGACAAGGGGAGACGCGGGGCAGGGGTCAAGGGTGGAGTGGAAGTCGTTGCTGGAGCGAGGAGAACTCCGAAGGGGGGGAGGGGGTTGAGGGAGGGAGGAAGGAGGACGAGGACGGACACAGAGGGCAAAAATAATTAGGAGCGGGGACGCGCGGGGGGATGACAAGGATTCGTGTCAATTTGCCAGAGAAAATTAACAGAAATAACCGAGGGTATTTATTTCGAATGTCGTGATGGAGGATTCAAGTTCAAAAACAAAGATGCAGTAGCTCTGCCGCGGTGACGCTGGCTGCCGGCGACGCACAGTTGGCCTCCTCCGCCAGAAATGAATCGCTGGACTTAGAGTACCAATATACTGCTTTGCTAAGGAAAAACACCGTATGAGCCTTCAGGCGTTACCAAATTTCCCCGGTTTAAACACGTACTTCTGAGGAAAGTTCTGATTTTTTCCCCTTAAATTTTCAGATGTTTTAGAGTAAATTTCGAACAAAAATGTCTAAAAATTTTGAGGGAAAACACTTTCAATTATCCCAGTAAATTCATCTCTTGTTAGAGGAAATATGGCAATCTCTGACGGCTCATACGGCGTTTTTCCTTAGCACGGCAGTACACGAGGAGAGATGACTGCTACTCCATCGAGGTGTTGTGTATGTTGCCTATCTATTAATGGAAGGGGCCACTATCATCTGTGATAAAAATT